CCTGCGCCCCAAAATGTCCTGTATCCCTCCTATATTGGCCAAACCACATAGGGTAGGTATCTTGTTGAGTCCTGAAGGTGAAGGTCTTTTTTTTACTCCATCACAGCATACATCTGAGTTTGAGAGTACACTGAAGCTTATTTCTTTCAGAACTTCAATCAACTTCAGGGCATAAGAGGAGCATTTGGACTAACTAATATGCAATTCAAAAGTGGTATTTATTGGTCGAACTCCTTTCTTGAAAATTTTCGGAGGTCTGGGTTCTTGACCCAAAGACAAAATGAGATCTAATAGACTGTAATTTAACCAGTCACAAATATAAAATTATTCCTATGAAGTCAATTCTTAGTGGGAATGCAATTTATTCATAAGAACTGACCTGGAAAAACACATTTTATGATCACATTTTTTTTCACTTATGGAAAACAACTCATGACATTCTTGAGCAAACAAAATTTGAGTTCACTTCCTTGAAAAGTGCGTTGTACAAAACAGGACTTTTCTCTTACAGTCCTTCAGCTCTAAGAAACACCTGCTCAAACTTGGAAGAAAGAAAGAATATGTTTTGAAGTTAGATGCCTCTTTTGTGGTGTAGGTCAGGAAGTATCACGTTTTCTTTAAAGTACTGGGGAGATTTACAAATACTATTTCCTTTGAGCTACTGAAATGCATATTTTAAGTTTCATATGACTTAGAAAAATCTTCTTGGCAGACCCTAAAGAAATACTTAATGCAACTGTGCTCCTAAGAAATATATAAAGGAAAGTTGAAGGATGTAGTTTATAACACAGCCTGTATTCTAGACCTAAAAAATAATTCAGAAAGTGCATTCTGATTTAGAGTATGTATATGCAACTCTTCAGGATTCAGAGATGAATGATAAATAAAGGACTAGTTAACTTAATAAAACACTGGAAAAGGTGGTATTAATAATAATCCTGTTACAAATGTGCACTAGAAGTCATCATGGTGCTCACCAGATGTCTTTTTACTGGTCAAAAAAGAAAATGCTAACTCAAAAATTTTTTTTGCAATAAAAGCAACATTTAAAATAAAACAGACACAAAGAGCATAGAAGAAAAATTGCATAGCAAGGGGAGGGAAGCAATTAACTTGAAAAATGTACAACTGGAAATTAAAGCATAGTTTGGCTAAATTTCTGCTTTCTAACTGTAATTAAAGAGCACTGCTTGTCTTACTGAAGCAATAAAACAAAATATTGTCTGCTTAGCAAATGACCTCGAACTTGCAAAAATATGCAGTTCTCAATGAGAAATGAAATTATAGTTTGGAAGAAATTAAATTTATTCCAATTTCTACCTTTTGTACACATCCTTCTTGAGTCTTTGAATCACTTTGAAATGCGCCCACAGAACATTTGCCCAGAATGCTTGTTGTACCATTGTGTATGCTATTTGTTGTAGCATAAAAGCTACAGTTCAAAAGCTGACCTTGCAGGGTAATGTCAGGACAGGCTGCAGGTTTCCAAATTTATGCGGATCTAGTATTTTCAATTCCCTATAGATACGGTATTAAGGAACTGTTAACAAACACTTCTGCTCTGAAGCTGAAGAAGCAGCTGTAGGATCTCAATGCTTTTTTTTTTAACCCAGTTTGGCAAACGTAGTGGTCTGATTAGTAGTACTTCCATAACATTTCATTTATAAAAGTTGTGAGGAAGAGTTTTTCTGTACATTCTAAACAGGCACATTAGGATCTGGCTTTGGATCTAGTACTATACAAGGGCCCCAAGAACCTAGTGCAATTCTTTTGTGTGGATGTAACTCCAGACTTCTAGCCAAAGAGCTTCATTCTGATGGCTGTGTGGCTTGCTTTCAGACACTGAAGAACATCATAGCGATACTGAAGCATACATATTTGACACAGATGAGGTTTTCAGCCCAGAAAGAGTAGACAGAGAAGAGTAAAACCTTGCTTTTAAGCCATGTTTTGTGCCTTCCCAATCTGTCGCATCCCAGGATCCTTTAATGTTCAGGAGCTTATGCAAATCCGACAAGGTGTATTAAGACAATATGAGGTACGGCCTCACTATTGTATAATGTGGCCCTGTGTCCAATTTCAGTATCACTGTCAATAAGTTAGAAATTGGAAACTTACACTTCCAAAAATATTACATAGAATTTCTCTCAAATATTTCAATATAAAAGTTTCATCCTTTCCTTATTTGAAGTTTTATTCCATTCTATGTTGGGTTTGTGTAGGGGGGGGGCATTTTTGGTAGTGGAGGAAGGAGCTGTAGTGATGGCCCCTGTAAGAAGCTTCACAAAGCTTTCCTGGCTCCGAGGTGGACCTGTTTCCAGCCTAGACTGAGCCAGTTAGTGATAAGAAAATGCCTCTTTGAATCCATACTTATGAGGGGAAGGACTGGTTTGGCAAAGAAGGAGATAGACTTCAGGAGATCAGGGGCCAGAACAAAAGACCATTTGCCTGAACAAAAAGAGCCTTGTTGACATGAGTGAGGAGGAAGAGGAGAGGAGAGGAGACAGAGAACTTCAGACACCCAGGTCAGCTCGGAGAAGAGTAGAGGGAGGTAAATGGAGTCCCCTGCAGCCATGGAGGTTCAACAGCAGAGCAGATACCCACATGTAGGCCATGGAGGACTCCATTCCAGAGGAGGAAGCTATGCCCGAGGGCAGTTGTGACTACTTGGGAGCTCGTGACAAGCAAGAACACCCCAGAGCAACTCAATGCCAGAGGGGAAGAGGTGCACTGGACTGGAGACCCATCTGCAGCCCATGAAGGTCCCCATGCCAGAGCTGGGAGCTGTGCCTGAAGGAATCTGTGACTCCATGGGAAGCCAACGTAAGAATACTTTGTTCCTGAGCTCTTGCAGCCCATGGGAGGGATCTCATGCTGGAAAGAGCAGCGTAGATGAACTGACTGCAACCCCCGTTCCCTGCCCCCTGTGCTGCTGTGGGGGAGAAGGTAGAGAAATCAGGAGCAAAGTAATTTGAGCCTGGGGAAGAAGGGAGGGGTGGGAGAGGTGTTGTAAGATGTGGTTGTTGTGTCTTACTATCCTACTCTGATTGGTAACGAATTAAGTTGATTTTTCTTCCCCAAGTCAAGTCTGTTCTGCCAATGACCATACTTGGTGAGTGAGCCATCCCCGTCCTCATTTCAATCCATGGCCCCATTTGGTTTTTTTCTCTTCCCATCTCACTGGGTGCAGGGGAGTGAGTGAAGGACTGCATGGTCTTAGCTGTCGCTGAAACCACCACACATTCTATTATTGATTGTTTTTACATTTTCACATTGTATATATTTTCAGTTCTGAAGTACTGTATAGCTTACATAATGTTGTCTGAATACATATGTTATTAATTAAAAAAATATTGACTATGCTACGTTATGTTGCTTCTGAAGACTTAAATAGTATCTGACTTGCACGTTTTTCAAATTTACCCAACCATAGAATGAAATTACAAAGACTGCTTCGTATGTTATCTTTACTATCTAGTGGTATCTAATTTGTGTTTTATTTATGCAAAGCTTGCTCATATAACAAACAGTCATGGTCCACACTATTAGTCTACAGTCTGTTAGTCTACTCAGATATTTCCAAGGAACTTCATTCTTAAATGTGACAAATTGCTTGAACACTTAGTGGAGAATCGTGCTGACAGAGAATGGATGGAGTTGCATCAGAGTATTTTTTCTCTTCTGTTCTGTGATTCATTACTGGGTAAAATCAGTTGGCCTTGAGTCTTTTTTTTTGGCCTGTGATACCAGCTGTAATCCAATTTAAAATATTTTTGTGGTCTCAGCTCAATACATTCCTCAAAGGTAACTGAATTTTAGCAGAGACTTTGGGAACTTGCTGCTTGTGGTTGTGGTAATGCATTGAGGGGCATAAACAGGAATGATTATTTCTTACGGAGCAGTAGTTATCTAGAGAAATAATTTCAAAATCGTATATTGATTTTGAAAATTAGGAGTTGTTTGAAATGATTGTATAAAAGTCAGTTGATCTACTTTTTCTACAAAATTAAAACGTTTACTTATACCTACTTGTGCATGTTCAAGTAGCTACAAGCAGTTCTTAGCTAAGGTTTTCAAAACCTCTTAACGTATTTTTTGATGACCATGTTATGTTCAGTTATGTATTTCTCTACTATTGCTAAAACTCATGTTTTGTCCTACCTCTGTGCATGCTGGTGGTTTTCATGGTCGTTGCTGATGACCAGAACGTACTTCTTCTTCGGACTTCTATAATACTAATTCTTAAAAAGCTTATTTAAAGTCTGTATGGGGCAAAGACTCCTACTTTGCAAATAAGCTAGGAAGAGGGTGTGCCTTTTAAGGTGTCTCAGAATTACTGGCTTAAAGATTGCTGTACTCTTTGAGTATACCTTGTGTGTTATATTACTCGAACAGCTTTTATTGACTAGAAAAGATTTAAGAGTAAAAGAATGTTTTCTTAAAAACCTGGACTTAAAATACTGAAGTTATGAAGAGAAAAAAAAAAGCTACGCTCTCAAAATAAAAATAAAATTATTGAAAATATGCTTTAAAATAAATATTATCTTGTTTCTGCAGCATCTCAGCCAGTTTCTGCCTTTCTTTTTGAAGAAACTGGAATAATTTTAAATTACAGATTTTCTTTGTTGAAGGTAAAATGCCTTTTTCTTTCCACCTCATCAGAAGGAAAAGGCAGAAGACAAATACTATCTTTTTTTTCTGTGGCATCCCAGACTGGAAATCCTTTGCTTTTTGTTTTTACTGATGAAAACTTACATTCTTGTCTTCTGTTATATTGGATGCTTTGATACCAGATGTAATGAAGGGGTTTCCCTCCTTCCTCATCCTCAAAGATTAGTGTTTCTAGTATATGAGTTAATTAGTACAGCCTCTTCTCCAGGTGATACTGTAACTACAAAGTAGTTTAGTCCTTTAACGTAACAATTTCTAATTTAAGTTTTTTTTCAAAGAGGAAAACTTCTCAGTTTTTTAATGTTTTCTTGTCTCTTTCACATCTGTAGCCAACAAGGACACTGGTTATGACAAGTATGTCTTCTGAGTAAGTATTAAACATTTTGACTCTTTAGTCAGCTCACTGTTTAAACTTGAATGTTGATAATGCTTTTATGCCTGTACAAAATTAAATTTATCTTTGGGCCATATGTTAAAATATTTTATTCAGTATTCTAGCTAGAAACATGTACATATACATGTATGTCATTGCTATTTACAGTGTGTGTGTGTATGTTTGTGTTGGTGTGGTGCAGACTGAAGTAGTTCCATAGGTGAGCTCAACAGGGCTTCAGAGCAATGAAACTAATATCTTAAGCAAGTTTTGATTTTTTTCTAAAGGAAGCATAAAAGTTTTATGTAGTAAAAGAATTTTAAAGAATTTTATGTAGTAAATAGTTCAGACTTTCCGCCCAAGACTTAGCTTTTTCCCCATACATTTTAATTATTTCTATTTAAAAAGTCATAAACTGAAACATCAGTTCAAAACGTTTTCTTTCATATAAATAGTTGCTGAAGAAATATCAGTTGTAGGCTTTTTAGCCACTTACTTACTTTCAAAACATTAGAAGCATCTGCCACTGCATATTTTGAGGGAGAGTTAACAATTTTCTGGCATGCTCTTATCGTTCTCTTAGAAGTCTTAAAGCATAAAGAACATCCAACAAAAACACAATTCCATATTTTATACTACACTTGCTTATAGTTTTTAAAATTCTTTTTCAAAACTCAAGATATTTCTACTAGCTACAGATCTCTTTCAGGTTTGAAGTAGTTAAATCTTGACAGTTGCTTAGATAGAAGTACTCAGAAGCAGCACTTAGTCCTTGCCCTTTTAGAAGTTCTTTCTAAATGGTTGTCGATAGCTATTAACAAGTATACTAATATAGGTCAAAAACATAAAATGGCATTAATATTTTTCTTGTATTTAATGTGACTGGATGCTAGTAACACCAAGACTGTAAAATGCGTTTTTGCAAGTCGTGTGGTACAGGATCAGTGTGGGGGAGGTAGAGATAATAGCTACAGTGCAGCTAGGAGTAGTGGAAAACAGGCTGTTATCTGCCAAAAAGACGAGAACAAATCCTGGCAGAGATGGGGAAAAAGTACTTTTCTTGAAAGAAGTCATTAATATATTTTTTCTTTTATGTTGCTTGTATGTTGATTTTTCCCACTAGCCAATTACTATTTCATTAAATAAAAATGTCTGGTAATAACAATTGCTTTTCTTCAGAACTTCATCAAGATTGTGCCTTTGGCTGTCTACAGTTGTAGGCATTCATCAGCCTGTAAATGGATGAAGGGAAAGGGACTGCTTCTGAAAGAACTAAAGAACAGAGAACAGTCCTCCAAACTATACCACCCAATGGCCAAAAAGCCAGTTCTACTACCCAGTAGCTACAGCCTCAGAAGTGGTTCATTTAAGGCCATGAGCTGGTTTTATGGCATTGGGTTTTGAGATTGTATTAAATGCTGCTCGCTGATTCACTGCCAGCAGCTCCTTGTTTTTCTGAATCACAAGTTCAGTGAAGTGGTGTTTTGCTGTAAATTTGCATCCAGCAGTTTTTGCAGTTGACTGAAGTATAAACTGGTGAGTTTTCACTGTTTATAAGGTGTCTTAGATTAAATTAATGGACAATAGCACTTTTCCATCTCATTGTAAGGAATTTTGTGTAGATACAAGAAAGAAGAAAAGCTTCAGGTAGAGCATGGAAATGCATCCCCTGAGTATGCAGTCTAGGCAGGGCCAGCCCCTATGGGTTGCACTGTTGCAAAAACATTGACTTGCAGGCTATGTCAAGTTAAAAATCATCAACTGAAAAGGCAATAGTAAATATTTCAATAACATTCAAGACAATATAGCCAAGGCCAGAATTGACACTAATCAGTGTCTGGAATGAGGCAGTTAAGTCAGTGGTTTGTTTTGTTGGCTTTTTTTTTTTTTTTTTTTTTGGTTGGTTGGTTGGTTGGTTGGTTTGGTTTGGTTTGGTTTCTTTAATAGTTAGATACAATATCATCTTTTGACTTAAGTGTGAAGCTTATTTGCTATACTGTTTGCTGTTACTATTCATTTGTTTGAAACTTCTTAAAAAATAGATTGTTGCATTCTCTGTAAATATTTTTTTTTTGTTAGAGTTCCTCTAGGTAGTATCTACTTTAGCTGGGGGTTTTTGGGGACCTTTAACTGAGTTACCTTCTATAAAGTGAAATGTAGTAAGAATGAAAGTAAGCCCAGAGGCTTCTGGAGATGTTCTGAGTGTGCTCGCATTATGTCAGTGTTTAACTTAAATGTTTTACCTGATTGTGACCAATATGACTGTGTTCAAGGTTGTGTGTAATTATTTTATCTTGTGTAGCATGCCGTGACCATTTAGTCAGCCCAGGGGAGAGAGAAGGGGATGGAACTCAACTTTCATTTACAGATCTTTAATGATAATTTGTAATAATAATTTATAATAATAATCATTAATAAGAACAGTAAATTGTTCTCATGCAACAGCTTTTCTCTAGTGATACCAAGATCTCACTGTTCTTGTGAGCATATATTTGTGTGCTTCAGTGTAGCTATGTAGAGAACTCAAATTAGAATTCCAGTTATATGTGGCCATTCTGGATTTTATATTTAATCATAATTGGTTTTAAGGATAAGTGAACTTTTAATTGAAATATTGGCTAGGATGTATAGGTTCCAAGCCAGAACTTTAGGACTCCTCTCTAAATTTAGACACAGCATTTTATTCAGATGCTGAAAATCTGGTGCTTCCTAATGAAAACTGCTTGAGTGCTTTGTCTAAATATTTACATTTCCTGGTAATACTTTTTTAATAGTATTACAAAAGCAGCCAAGAATGAGGTATTGTACACAAACAATATGTTAGATAAGTCCTCAAAATTATCAGAAGTTTCTATTTAAACAGACAAGATAGATGTGGGGGACAAAAGAGCAAGTAGATATGATTGTGTGATGACAGAAAAGGGTCTGTTTGGACTCTGTGGGAGGGCTGATGAATTTAGGGCTAGTAAATGGTAGAGGCTCAATGAGAAAAGGATAAGAAATGATTAATGAGGAAAGAAATTAGGTGAGTTTGAGTTAATTTTCATTGTGTATATGCTTTTATAATTCTGCATATCTATTCAACATTGTGTGGTTTTTTCCTTTTTCTTTTTAGGAAGCAAAATACAGTAATTCAGGTGGTGAATAAACTTGGAGATTTTTTGTTCTCAGATGATGTATGTGAAACAACAAGTCATGTAGTTACAGGGAGTCCTCGTCGTACCTTGAACGTTATGCTGGGAATTGCTCGTGGGTGTTGGATTGTTTCTTATGAATGGGTAAGAAATATTTTAAAATTTTACTGCAGAATAAATGAAACTTATTTTGTGTAGCTGAAATATCAACCATATAACAATTTTTGTTTCCATGCTGTATACACTGGTGCAATGTTCAGATATTCAGGCTTACCTAGAGTTAGCTCAGTTAGAGAAAATTTGTCTGTGTGAAGCTCTGTTACCATGACATAGTCTTTCAGTACTTCATCTAACCAGAGTATTCCTCAGTATGTATTTTAGAAATACCTGAAATCTCATCTCATGGATGAAAAAATCATGCCACATGGATTATTTTTGGACAGATTAAAGGCTAATCAAACCATGTCTGCTCAACGTTAGCCAAGTCACATTATTCAGACTGAATTTTTTTTATATGCTGATTTAATATATTTCTGCTGTGTTCTGAAATGTGTATTGTGTTCAGCATTGGTGAAAATGAAGGGGAATTGTTAGATATTTTGCTGCATGTTGGGAAAACCGGAAAATAAAAATAAAAAAAAATAAGGACAGCCATTTGTAGATGAGTAGTTTGAAGACTTTGTAATTTACAGAAATGGTTCCTAGACATCCAGATCAATTAATCACTGTATATCCTCAAAATCTCCTGTGGACCACCACTTAAAGTTCCCAGACTGTTACTGTAAAGACAAGATACTAATAAATTGCTCTATTAGGTCTGACTGGGATGGAGTTAATTTTCTTCATCATAGCCTGTATAGTGCTTTGTTTTAGACTGGTGACCAAAACGGTGGCAACAACCCACCAGTGTTTTAGCTATTGTTCAACAGTGCTTACAGTGTTAAGGTGTTCTGTGTTTTTCGGTCAGCCCCTCCCAGAAGTAGACAGGGGGTGCACAAGAAGCTGAGAGTGGACTCAGCTGGGACAGCTGACCCCAACTGATCAGAGATTATATGAAATCATGCTCAATTTTAAAACTGGGAGGGTTTTTTCCAGAGCAGCCAATGCTCAGGAGACTGGCTGGGCATCAGCACTGGTGAGAATTATTACTTTTACATCATTTGGGTTTTTTTAACTTTTTTTTCCTTCACTTATTAACTGTCTTTATCTTAACCCACAAGATTTTTTTTTCTTCTTATTTTTGCCCTTCCAGTTCTCTCCTCCATCCTGCTGGGGCAGAGAGTGAGTAGGTGAGGAGCTTACCTGTCAGCCAGGGTTAAACCACCTCAATTGCTCACTGTGATAATACAGATTATAACCACTCAATCTGACGTTGCAGATGACAGTTTCTTAGCTTTCCTCATGTTTCCAGAGTTAGCTGTTGGAATTTATATGGAAATAGCTCTCCATCTTATACAGAAAAGGGTTGTAGAATAACTTTAAATTTCTTAGTTTCCTTTTTCTTAGAAATACTTCAAAATTTAGTTGATGGGCTGAAAACAGAATAAACTCCTGTTGCCTTTTTGTTTTCAAGATGTCTGGCATTTGCCAGTGTGAAGCTTGTCCTACATTATATACATGAAGTTATCTGAAGAAGCTGTTATGGTACACTTTGGGGTTTTCAGAAGTTCTTGGTGATTAATTTCCCTTGGAAACGTTTGCATCTTTGGTCACCTTAACGATCCAGTAACATGCTTTTGTGACAGAAAAGACCATTAGTATCCTTGGCTACATTAAGAGAAACGTATTTGAGCAGAGGGCTTGAACAAGACAATCTCCACACTTCCATTCCAGCCTCAACTATTATATGATTCTGTGTGTCTATGAATGAAGTATATTTATCATAGAATCACAGAATGGTTTGGGTTGGAAGGGACCTTAAAGATCATCTAGTTCCAACCCCCCCTGCTATGAGCAGAGACACCTTCCACTAGACCAGGTTGCTCAAAGCCCCATCCAGCTTTGCCTTGTGAGCAGGGGTTGATACTGGTCCAATATTGTTTAACATCTTAATTTATCATCCAGATGATGGGTAAGAGTGCACCCTCAGCAAGTTTGCAGATGTTGCAAAACTGAGGAGTGTTTGACACACCAGATGGGTGTTCCCATTCAGAGGGACCTTGACAGGCTGGAGAAATGGGCCAACAGGAACCTCATGAAATTTAACTAAAACAAGAGAGCAGATCTGCTATAATGACTTCCCTTTTCAAATCTTTACTCTTACTTTTATGTATTGTGATGCAAAAAGTTGACTTTTATAATATCCTCACAAGGTTTTAAAATGTAATGTGGCTATGCATAAAAATATGACTTTAGTATTTTAATAGTTTGCTTCAGTTATAAACTTTGTATCTTTCTGATTGCTTGATTTTTCAGCAAATCATTTAGTTTGGGTAAATGAAATATCAAACCAACTATTGCAACTGCACTGTTACTTCTAGTAACTCATTCAAAGTGTTTGCTGTTCTAGAAATTATAAGAGTTCTACTTACCGCTTAATTTATTTTAGGTTCTGTGGTCTTTGGAATTGGGCCATTGGATCTCAGAGGAACCATATGAGCTTTCATCCAGCTTCCCTGCAGCTCCTGTAAGTTTAATGGCCCTTTAAGCTTGTGAACTTTATTTTGTTTATCTGGAAAATGATTGGCCCTCTGAATAGGTTTTGTGAACAAGAAGACTTACTAGAAAAAATATATTTTTTAAGGCAAATACTATAAGGAGTTATTTTATCCTTTGTCCACCACTTTTTGAAGTGTGTGCAAAAACTTTGGTATGCATGGAAAATGCAAAAAATTGATTCACCAATTAGTATCTGAATAAACTAGCTTCTGGTTTAAGTATAAATGTATTTTAATTTTTTTGTAGTATGTTTTATTTCTATCTGTCTTTGTACATTAACTGGAGAGGCATGTTTTGCCTAATGGAAAGATTATTCAGGTAACAGACTCAGTATTTTCAGTCCAGAAATTACTTTGGCAATGGAGAATTGCTGTGGGCTTCTAAAACTACTAAGTGGGTAAAATGAAGCATTTTTCCTGCCTTTAATGATCATTCTCAAGTACTGAATGATCAGTCGGCGAGGAGCACAGTGTGGCAACGGTAAGTTCTGCAGCTGAAAGCGTGCTGAGGAGGAGGAGGAGCAGGGTTCCAGAGCGAGTGAAGGCCACGGGTGGGACAGAGAGTCCCCTCGGGAGC